TCAATTGAATTCATAATTTAACATCCATTTTCCCTTGAAATTCCCTCACCAATGTCTCTATCCATGCAAAATTCATGTCAAACTTGAGTTTCATCATGAAATTGAAGTCATTTAGAGCAACTTTCATGTTGGAGAAAGTTTCATTTTAAGTGCTTAAAAGATCATGAACATGACCTATAATGCAAATGACCTATAATCACACTTCCCAAAATACCCCTGCCTTGCAAGCTTCATAACATGAGTTCTACAAATGAGATGAAGGACTTCTAAGACATTTTGGAAAGCTAAGATTATAAGTAACAAATCTCATGTTCACTTAAAGTTAAGGAGAAACTTGATTCTAAGTCAAAAGTGCATTGGAAGTTGGTTGACTGAAAATATGTTCATCTGAGACCTCTAACTTGCTAGCATCATATCTTGAGTTCCACAAACACAATGGATGAGTTATAGTACTCAAAAGAAATCTAAGAACATTCTCTATAAGTCGCATGTTTGTGTCAAAGAGAGATTAGACTTGTATCTTGAGATACATGGTCTTGAAGTTGGGCACTAAATAGGGGATTTTACACTAATAATCCTTTGAAACCCTAATTTAGTAACTTCTCACACTCTTGATTCTTATTGAATTGAACTTGAAATGACATCCTAGATGTATCAACACAACTTCCCATAACTATAATGACTTAGAACTAAGTCTCAAACCTTCTTCAAATCCACAATGGACCTTGCACTAAGCAGATGAAATGCTAGGTGCACAACCCTTGATTGTAACCTCTTGCAAATGATATAACAACTTGGATAAACTCCACAATGGCTCTCAAAGCACTCAATGAGATTCCACAACATCCCATATCCATAACCATGGACTTGTGATCTTCTGATGATCCTCAATTGACCTCCAAGATAGGAGATAAACCACACATATCCAACTTCTCTCAAGAAGAACTGTGACTACCTTCTGGTGACATGATGAGCCTTTGATGACTTGAATAAGCACTCATGCTTGCTTGAAATATCTTGAAAGCCTCTCTTGCTATGCACACCTCTTTTGATCCCCTACAAATGATAATGCTATGCAAATGCACATGCTAGAAAATGAAAAGAAACAAAAGCCAAGTAAAGAAAAGGTTGGGCAAATTTTGGGGTACAATAGTTGCCCCTATTCAAGCGACTTGGACCTGAATGAATGAAAAGCGAACGACTTTCAAACAATCAAGGTAAAAGACGATTGAATACCAAAGAACCCGGAAATTTGCCAACCGCAGAAAAATAGAACCACAAACTCTGATAGGGCAAAAATCTCCGGAGATAACTGAATTGTTAGCTGCAACGGTAACAAGCTGACTGATTACAAAACATCGACACACAGTCAGAAGAGATATCTGCTAATGCGCAGGCAACGAAACAAATTTGGAAAGGATCATCTGACATCCCCATCAGGCATCTATTGAACACAATAGGCAACAACACTAAATCGGAAAGATCATCTGACAACACCATCAGGCATCTATTGAACACAATAGGCAACGACACTAAGTCGGAAAGATCGTCTGATATCGCCGTCAGGCATCTGTGTAATACCACAGGCATCGAACCCAAAGACCGGCTTAACACACAGCTGAGAAGAAAACATCTGACTTCACCGTTAAACATTTGTTAGATAAAAACAGGCATCGAACCCGAAGGCCGGCTCAACACGCAGTTGAGAAGGAGCATCTGACCTTGTCGTCAGGCATCTACTAGAATATAACAAGCATCGAACCCGAATGCCAGCTCAACACGTAGCTGAGAAGGATCATCTGACCTCGCCGTCAGGCATCTGTTAGAACATAACAGGCATCGAACCCGAAGGCCGACTCAATAACAATTGAGAAGAACATCTGACATTGCCGCCAGGCATCTGTTAAATAAAAACAGGCATCGAACCCGAAGGTCGGCTCAATAACAATTGAGAAGAACATCTGACATCGTCGTCATGCATCTGTTAAATAAAAACAGGCATCGAACCCGAAGGTCGGATCAACACAAAGTTGATAAGAAAACATCTGACATCGCCGTCAGGCATCCACTAAAAATAAGCATAAAACCCGAAGGTTGGATCAACCGAAGCTGATATACATCTGCTAACCAACGACCATTTTCTAAATAAAAGCGAGCATCAAACCCGAAGGCCAGATCAACCAAAGTTGATAAACATCTGCTAACCAGCAGGCATTTGCTAAATAATAGCGAGCAGCGAACCCGAAGGCCGGATCAACCGAAGTTGATAAACATCTTGATAAATCACAAGAATACTACGCCGGGGAAAGAGAGAAACTTAACCAAGCAACTCTGGCAGGGAGAAAAGAGAAACTTAACCAAGTAACTCTGTTGGGGAATAAGATGAACATATCCATCAAAGATTGTGTCATGGTCTGGATACCATATGAGCTTTAATAATACCATTTCAAATTGTCAGAGTCTGGATACTACACAAACAAAGTGAATCAACGAAATTTGCTAGAGTCTGGATACTACACGGACAAAAGAAATCACATCTGAAATTGCCATGGTTTGGATACCATATAGGGCTCGTCTATCCGCAATGCACAAATATGTTAAAATATAAAAAGTATTTTTGTGTATTTATTTTTTATTTTAATTAAATTATTTATAAAATAATAGAATGAAAGAGATATGCAAACCACCATAGAGAGGTTAATGAAAAAGAAATTGAGATTTAAAACAAAAACTACAAAAAATATAATTGAAATAAAAATAAGCTAAGCAAGTATATGGAATAAAAATAAGCTACACCAAAAAGAAATTGAGATTTAAAACAAAAACTACAAAAAAATATAATTGGAAACAACACTCGCGTATCCGTCTGTCCGTTTTTTTAATACATATGTAAAAATTTAAATGATATTTTTTTTTATCTAATATTGATTTTAAATATAAATTAAATTGAAAGTTAATAGTAAAAAGTTAGGTAGAAAGTTATTGAATAAGTTATATATTAAAGTAAAGATAAAACTGATAGAGAACTAGGTTACACTAAAATTAGGGGTGACAAAATGAATGGATTGGATGAGTATAGATTGAATAAGATGAATATGGATTGAATTGTTAATGGATGAATCAAAACAATTCATTAATCCATTAACAATCCACTAAACTCTCTTAATAAAAATTCAATTCAATCCATCCATTAAAAGATAAAATTAATCCAATCTATCAATTAACATATTTTTATCAGATGGATATCCATCAATCCAAAAAATTAATTTAAAAATTTTTAATTTAATAAGTGACAACATAATATTCAATGAATTTATAAAATGAGATGAATGAATTGAATCCATCCATATGAGTTAGTGGATGAATTGGATCAAATTCATTAAATTGTTTTTTGTTTTATGGATGGATTGAATAAATAAATTATTGGATGAATTAGATGTATATTATCTAAATGGATTTCATTGTCACCTCTAACTAAAACACCATATTTTGCCTTTATATATGTTATAGATAGATTATTGAATGATAAATTTATTTATTTACTATTATTTATTAAAAATATTTAACTTGTTATTTGTAGCTATTTGGAAATGTAAAAATATTTAGCTTGCTATTTTTTTTAGTTATGTAGAAAACGAGAGTTATTTATTATTTTATTATAAATTGTAATAAATTTCATTAATTATTAATATTATTTATAATAATTTTGATTGGCTATTTGTGTTTAATTAGTCATTATATTTATTCTAAATTTCTGGATGACTATAAATTGTTGAGTTGCTATTTTTTAGCCAAACGTTTGGGTTAAGTTTTTTGTAGAAAGAAATAAATTTAGTTAATTATTATTATTTATTAAAAAGATTTGATTTGGTTTGTTTAGTCATTTAAAAATATGGGGAGTTAATTTTACATGAGTTTTTTTGTTTATTGGGTCGCTATTAATTAGCCAAACGTGAGTGTTAGGTTTAAAGCAATAAATTTATGTAATTATTATTAATTAAAAAGATATTATTGACTATTTTATTTAGCAAAGGTTAATTTGGTTTGGTAGAGCATTTTTAGTTGGAGTATTTTGAGTGGGTAAATTAAACTATTTTTTTTGGGTTCAAAATGATTTGTAAAATTTAATTTTTTTTTAATTAATTTAAGTTGTTTTTATTTTAATAATAATTACTTATAAAAAAACTAAAAATTAATAAATTAAATACCATATCATAACTGTTTTAACAAGAGTACAAAGTGGTTTTATAAAACTTTAATAATTCAGGATTATCTTATACACAATAATATTACACTTAAATTCATTGTTGAAGAGTTTTCCAATAAAGCAGAGAGACTCTTATTTCAGTTCAGCCTCTTTTTCAGAACCCCACACTTTCTCTCTCGTCCAAGCAGTTACTGATCCTTCCGAAGCTCAAGGTAACACCGCCGTGCCACTCTTCTCCGGTAGTTCTTTCCGATTATCATAATTTCAATTTCGAGCAATTCGCATCTCATTTTTCCGTTTCAATTATAATCTACATATTACGTTAAAATATATAATTTCTTTGATAAAAAATACATTATTGTTAATTAATTATTAAATATACATATTTTCTTTTCTGATAAAAATATTTATAAAAGTGACACTTTTTATTTTTGACAGTTTTTTTATTACAGTGCTTTTTTATATTTTTTGAAAAACCCAAACCGAATAGTATCATTTTTATGTTTTGGGTTAATATATATTTTAATCTAGTTTAATTTGTTATTTTTTTATAAGAAAATTGGTAAATCAATCAAAAAGGAATAATATAAAGCTTCAAACTTTCTGCAAAGGTTCTGAAACGTTCTTCGCATAGGGCAAACAACAAAAGAACCCCAAGATGAACAGACTACGGGTGCCCTTTTCCTATCTATCTCTGAGTTACTTCCGATGTAGGAGTCTTGGTTTGAGAGAGTTTCACCTTCTGAGACCCGTATGGGCAAGAGGATTTCAAAAACATGATGTTCCTTCAACAATGGTGGAAGGATTTTATAAGAGACCTCTTCCTTCGCTTGCTGTTGATTTTGTTTCCGATCATGGCAAGGTTACTACTTCTATCAAAAAGTTTGGTTTTTTAATTACTTTTAAGATATTATCTGCATTTTGTAAGATTTTTAGGAAGTAAATTTTATATTTTGTGTTGTTCATCATGTGTCTGTTTTAATGTCAACAGCAACTTTTTGTTGAAAGCATTCAAAGTGGAACAATGGAATGCTTTTATAGGTTGATACCATATTTTCAAACACAATCTGAACTAACTTATTGCGGCCTTGCGAGTCTTGCCATGGTTCTCAATGCTCTTGCCATTGATCCTGGCAGAAAATGGAAAGGTATTCTATCTTACTTATAATTTTTTATTGATATCTTAATTAGTTTTACATTTTGTTTGACTGGACACCATTTGGACCATTCATGCAGGAGGACCTTGGAGATGGTTTGATGAATCTATGTTGGATTATAGTGAACCTTTAGAAATGGTTAAAGCTAGAGGCATTGCATTTATGAATCTTGCACACTTGGCTCAATGTGCTGGAGCCAAAGTTGATGCCTTTTATGCTACTCAAAGCAACATCGATTATTTTCGTAAATATGTTATCAAATGTTCAAGTTCAAATAACTGTCATTTGATCTCTTCGTATCATAGAGCTGCTCTCAATCAAGTATGTATATGATTTGGTTATGAATCTTATTTTGGCTTAACTATAAAATACAAAGTTTTCTATGTTTCATAAATCATTTTTAACTTGTATACTGATTAGTTCATTATAAAACTTTTTAATTTAATTTAGTAATCTATATTGATATAAGTTCATGACAATGTTTACTTGATTAATCCTTACAGACGGGATCCGGACATTTTTCTCCTATTGGAGGCTATCATGTTGGAAAGGACATGATATTAATTTTAGATGTTGCGCGTTTTAAATATCCTCCTCATTGGATTCCACTTGCAGCTCTATGGGAAGGCATGAATTATGTTGTTAAATCTACTGGAAAATCAAGGGGGTAAGCTTTTTACTCTAAATTTTATACAATTTTGAATTCACCTTGTAATCATGTTAATAGTAGAGTTGCATATTTGCCCAATTGTTAATCCTTTTCCTAGTTATCAATCCAGGTTCATGCTTATATCAAGGCCGCATAAGGAAACACTTGAAAGAAATTCATGATTTGGTTTCACCTGCATATATCAAGGGCTGCACTTTATAGGACATTTACATAAATGTCAAGAGGGTCTATGTGAAAACCCAAGTTTTAAAACATTTAATTGAAACACTTGGATGATGAGTTTGTAATGTTAATCAGGGTATTATCAGTATAAATTTACATTAGAAAAAAGTTTTATATATTCGGCAAAACGCGACAACAAAAAGCTTCATTCTTCACTGTTATTAGATCCTCATAACCACTTGCTATGAAGAAGAAGAATATGATGAAGAAGAATACTCTTATTAAATCCTCAAAACCACTGTCGAGCCTTGATTAAGATCATTTGTTTGGAAAATCCCAACATGATGTTTGTAATGGAATCTAGTTTAAAAAAGGATGAAATTCAAAGGATAAAGCTCAAATCCGATTTTGAGTGCTGCCTGTGCCTGGATTGAATAGGTCAGGTTCGTGAAAGAGCAGGATGGATCTTTCTTTTGTGGCAAGATAGTCTTCAGGTGGACATATCTTCCTTCTCCACCAACCATATTAGTGGTTCTGTGAAGGATAATCAAGAAGTTGAGCCCTGGTGTTTTAATGGCATATTATTGTAGGAGCTAGTTAGGAAAGGTGGAGAGAGATTTATCTGTTTCGGGGATCCGAACGAAGTTGTTTCTGCTTGTGAGAAGTGTGAATAAGGGTTTGTTCCTAGAATAAGGGTTTGTTTCTAGAATAAAGGAAACAAATTAGAAATTGACTTGTTCTCATTAAAATGTAATTATTTAGTGTAATTACCAATATAGCCCTGTAACCTCTATATATACGAGAAATAATAATGAGAAAAGCATGAAGCCAAGAATTCTTGACATGGTATCAGCCTCGTCGATCAAACCTGTGATTTTCTGGTTCTGATCGTTTTTTTCTGTCTGAGACAATATCTTGATCGCTAATTTGTTTCGTGCAGATGCCATCGTGATTCTGGGGTTAGGGCTTCAGTTTGTTTTGCAATCCTTTCTCGTGATTTTGGGTCGTGTTTAGATTTTTTTTCGGTTGCAATTTTGGTTTTGTGGTTCTTGGATGTTCTTGGTTTGAGATTCTGGATCGTGATTATGTTCTTCTGGTTCTGCGCTCCTTCCAACTAACGGTTGCACTGTTTGTGGATTGGGGGTCTGTACTGTTCGTGGCTTGTTATACTACTGTTCGTGGATTGTTTGCTGTTGCTGACGGTGGATTGTTATACTACTGTTCATAGCTAATTTTGTTTGTTAACAAGACGGTGAATTGTTATATTACAATAGTTATTATTATTATTATTATTATTACTATAATCTATTAATTAGTGAGGTTGTTATTATAATAATAATAAGTATTATAATAATAATAATTATCATAGTAATACAACAATAGTGAGGTTGAATCTAATTACAACATAATTTCAATGGCTTCCGAAAAAGAAAGAGATAACTTCTGTGTTCGTTTCACCGGCAAGAATTATTCGGCTTGGGAATTTCAATTCAAGATGTATGTTAGAGGAAAGGGATTATGGAGTCACTTAGATGGTGTTTCTGAGGCCCCGACGGATAAAACTGCTTCAGATGTATAGGAAACTCAAGATGCTCAAATCATCACTTGGATTCTCAATAGTATTGATCCTCAGATGATAAATAATTTGCGCTCCTTTTCAACTGCTCAAGAAATATGGAATTATCTGAAGCGCATTTACAACCAGGACAATTCGGCAAAACGTTTTCAATTGGAGCTAGACATAGCCAACTACAAACAAGGTGACCTACCTATTCAAGAATACTATTCTGGTTTTCTGAATCTCTGGACAGAACACTCTGCTATTATACATGCTAATGTTCCCAAAACCTCTCTCACTGCTGTTCAAGAGGTCTACGACACAAGTAGGCGAGATCAATTTCTCATGAAACTTCGTCCAGAATTCGAGATTGTTAGAGGCGCTTTGCTCAATAGGAATCCTGTTCCTTCTTTGGATACTTGTGTCGGTGAACTTCTAAGGGAGGAACAACGTCTACTTACGCAAGGAACCATGTCTCATGATGCTGTTAGTTCCGAACCTGTGGCAATTGCATATGCTGCTCAAAGTAGAGGAAAGGGTCGTGATATGCGACAAGTTCAATGTTTTTCTTGCAAACAATTTGGACATGTAGCTCGCAATTGCAGTAAGAAGTTTTGCAACTATTGCAAACAACAGGGTCATATCATCTCTGACTGTCCCACACGTCCTCCCCGACCAGTACAACGTCCAACTCAAGCATTCCATGCCACTACCAACTCTGAAGTTGGTCCTCTCAGTACTGGTACCGGTAGTGTTTTACAACCTGAAATGATTCACCAAATGGTACTTTCTGCTCTTTCAGCCTTGGGAATTCAGGGTGTCTTCTAATAATTCTCAATCATGGTTTCTTGATTCTGGTGCATCCAATCACATGACGGGTTCCTCTAAATACTTACAAAATGTACATTCCTATAATGGTAATCAGCAAATTCAAAATGCTGATGGTAATAAACTTTCTATCACTGATGTTGGTGACATAGACTCAAACTTTCGTGACGTGCTTGTATCACCCGGACTTGCTTCCAACTTATTGTTGGTTGGTCAATTGGTGGATAACAATTGTAATGTTAGTTTTTCTCGTGTTGGTTGTCTTGTGCAGGAGTAGGTGTCGGGAAAGGTGATCGCGAAGGGGCCTAAAGTGGGAAGATTGTTTCCACTCCAGTTTAGTTCTAGTCATTTATCCTTTGCATGTAATACTGTTTTGAACTCTTATGAGGATTGGCATAGAAAATTAGGCCATCCAAATTCTGTTGTTTTGTCTCATTTATTTAAAACTGGTTTGTTGGGAAATAAACATGCATGTACTACTCCTATTTCATGTTCTGTTTGCAAATTGGCTAAAAGTAAAATCCTCACTTTTCCGTCAGGCGCTCATCGTGCTTCTACTTGTTTTGAGATGATTCATAGTGATGTGTGGGGAATGTCTCCTGCAACATCTCATGCTCACTATAAATATTTTGTCACATTTATTGATGATTACAGCCGCTTTACTTGGATATATTTTCTTAGATCTAAGTCTGAAGTGTTTTCTATATTTCAGAAGTTTTTGACATATGTTGAAAATCAATTTCAAGCAAGTGTTAAAAATTTTCGATCTGACTCGGGAGGTGAGTATATGTCTCATGCATTTCAGGAATACCTTCAACAAAAAGGGATCTTGTCTCAACGGTCTTGTCCCAATACCCTTCAACAAAACGGGATGGCAGAGCGAAAGAATTGTCATTTGCTTGATGTAACACGCACATTACTTCTTCAAGCTTCTGTGCCATCCCGATTTTGGGTTGAGGCTCTTTCCACAGCCGTATTCTTGATCAATCGTATTCCTTCTACGGTTATTGATTTTGATTCTCCCTTCTTTCGCCTTTTTAAAATTCAGCCTAGTTATAATGATTTACATATTTTTGGATGTGTTTGTTTTGTGCACTTACCTCCATTTGAAAGACATAAGCTTGGAGCACAGTCTGTTCAATGTGCGTTTATAGGGTATAGTCACTCACATAAGGGATTTGTGTGTTATGATGTCACTAACCATCGTTTTCGCATTTCTAGGAATGTGACATTTTTTGATAATCAGTTTATGTTTCCATGCGTTTCTCCTGTCATGAATGATATTGTTACTCTTCCTAAGTTCTCTATTATGCCTCAATCTATAGAGCGTTATAAACCAGGTCATGTATATGTCAGAAAACACAAACAACAGGTTCCCACACCCCTTCCCGACGCTGAACCGCCACCTGATCCTGTAACGGTTGAACCACGACGTTCTGTTCGAATATCTCGAGCACCAGACAGATATTCACCAGACAGGTATGATTCAGCACATACTTCTCTGACTGTCACCCTCTCTGGCATATCTATTCCTACTTGTTATTCACAGGCTGTTAAAGATGTACGTTGGATAAAAGCAATGAATGAGGAACTTCAAGCTCTTCAAGAGAATTTCACATGGGATATTGTCTCTTGTCCTCCAGATGTCAAATCCATTGGCTGCAAATAGGTGTATTCTGTGAAATTGAATTCGGATGGGTCCCTCAACCGTTTCAAGGCTCGCTTGGTTGCCTTAGGAAACAAGCAGGAATATGGAATTGATTATGATGAGACATTTGCACCGGTTGCTAAAATGACATCCGTTCGTACGGTACTCTCTATAGCTGCTTCTAACGGGTGGGCTCTTTATCAATTAGATGTGAAAAATGCTTTTCTTCATGGTGACCTCGCGGAAGACATTTATATGACTCCTCCTCAAGGTTTATTTTCATCATCTAAGGGTGTGTGCAAGCTTAAACGCTCCTTATACGGTTTGAAACAAGCACTTAGAGCATGGTATGAAAAATTTCGCTCCACTCTACTTGGGTTCTCCTTTACTCAGAGTCAGTATGATTCTTCTCTATTTATTCATAGAACGTCTATTGGAATTGTCCTACTTCTTCTGTATGTTGATGATATGATTATTACTGGTTCTGATCATGCTTCCATTCAAAGCCTTAAACAGCAGTTACAAGCAGCGTTTCATATGAAAGATCTTGGTAATTTGCATTATTTTCTTGGTCTTGAGGTTCATTCTACATCCAAGGGCATATTCCTCCATCAACACAAGTATGCCATAGATTTAATTTCCATGGCTGGTCTCCAATCGGCTAATCCAGTGGATACTCCGCTTGAGGTTAATGTTAAATATCATCGTGATGATGGTGATCTGTTGCCTGATCCCTTATTGTATCGTCAACTCGTGGGTAGCCTTAATTACTTGACTATTACTCGCCCTGACATATCGTTTGCTGTTCAACAAGTAAGTCAATTCATGCACTCTCCTCGCCACCTTCACTTGGCAGCAGTTCGTCGTATAATTCGTTACTTGAAGGGAAGCTCTCATCGTGGTTTATTCTTTCCTAGTGGAGTTGCTCCTAAATTGAGTGCTTATAGTGATGCAGATTGGGCAGG